AGAGTGACTCGCGGAGAGAAAGTTCGGCAAAAGGGGTCAAGACGAATGAAAGAACGGAAGATCGTTGTAAAAGTTCGAGCGAGATATCGGATCCAGCTAGCGAGATCCGTAACCCCTGTCGTCTAATGTCGAATTCCCTTTATCAAGTTTAATTCACGACCATAAGTTGTTTCTTTGCGCTTCGTTGAACTTTACGAGAATTTTAATTGATTCTGTTTTTAAATCGTATTTAACGCTGTGCTTTGTTTCTTCTGTTTCCGTGCTGGGTTCGAGGTCTATCCATTAATCGCGATTCAATAGCAGTCTAATCTTCTTCTTCCTAATTACTCCTCTTTTAATTTCCAGGAAGGATGGTCTAAAAATACGAAACAAGTACAATTCACAGGAAAATGTACACGCGTGTAAAATTACCGTTCGCCATTGTAATAATTTGGATGGCCCGAGGTTTTAATTTTATCAAACGTAGTGTGGTAACAGAGTATTAACAAGACAATACAGCGCATCGTGCAGAAGCGTTTATCATGTGAGACATGCTGCAATGAACACGATTCCAGATCCCGTAATCTCCGATTGTAGCAACGGGTATTCTGCGAATTACGCATCATCTCTTGCAAAGGAGGCTTCATATCCATAAATTAAATAGATATTTCCGTTAACTCCCATGCAATTCATCCCATTTACTGCGTAAAGGGCAAACAATAGAAACCCGTGCAGGGATAGCGTTTATTCAGATATGTAACCACTTTTATTCAAAACACGTCGACAACGTATCCAAGAAGAAGGAAAACAATGCGGTAAATCAGAAAACTTTGGATCGACCTTTTGCCCTGAGAGGGACAAATGATCCACAATCATGGAGATTCCAACTTTACCAATCGCATTCTCGAGACACTGCAACGTCCACAGCGGGGTTACAACTTTCTTAAAGCAGTTTAATAATGAAACTTTCCTCGAGTGTTTACTTTCTATAACACTATAGTCATTTCATTAAGTCGGTTTCGTTGCGATACGGCACGATACGATTGTTTGCTACCAACACGACATTTTCATCAAAATGGCATTCACTCGCCTCAATATATTTCTTATTTATCTTTTATTCACATTTTCAGCTGGGTTATCATTTCTTGGAATTATGAATTACTCGGTCTGTGAATAATATCTACTCAAATTGGAAGAAACGAAATGCAGGCATATGAGATCGAGTCGTTTTGACGTCAGTATAAAACATGATACATACTATTTTATGTCAGACGGTCGTTTTAAAAAAGCAATTTTATCAGCGAATGAAACAAGCAGAACGATGCGATGCACATGCTCGGAATGTACGAAATTCATTTGGAAATTGTATTTCGTTAGCAGCTACTCTATGCAAACAACGATAAGATATAGGAAACGAAGCTATTGGAAATTATTCCTGTCTTTTCAACAGATTATAAGCCAAGTATAACAAAAACCATTGTTTCCTTGGGCTCGATTGTTCTAGATAATTCATTCGCGCGGAATTTTACTCGAGTAAGAAATGTGATCTCGTTTCCTCTTATCGGAAATGGAGAATCGGGGATGGAACGAGAATATAATCTGACGATGAACGTTGACATGGGTATTCCGATGTTTGACAAAGATCAGTCGCTACGTGTACATGTATTTGATCAATTGATGATTATTCATAATCTTTCTGTAGAAATATGCTAGATTGTTATCACTTTCTCCTTTTTTTATATAAAAATAAACCGTCTTTAAAAATTATACGTGTTATAAATTGTTTGTAGTTGTGGAGTTAGAGCATGTGAAACACGACTTTGAAAAATTGAAATATGACCGATCGGGTATTCAAAAAATAACTGATGAGTACATAAATAAAACATGAAACATGACACGCAAAATATGTTACACATCACACCTGCGTTTCGTTGGTGTAGTTTCACAATCTAATAAATGCAACTGTATAATCATCGATACAATATCGGTTTGCGTCTGTCATTTATAACGAATAGAATAAATCACCGATACTTTACGCTTGCGTTCCACGAATCGTTTGGATTTCACTTTATTTTACGCGATACTTGAGACAAACTTTATACATTTGTCTTGTTTCCTATCGATTTCAAGTTTCCTCATGATTCTCGCATAAAGAGAGGAAGATCGGACTTTTTACCAGTTCAGCTCATGAAGATATGTATGATCTAACGAAGAGAAACATACATATGTATGTATGCAGTATATTTGAACACGGGCAAGTAAGAATTTCGCGTTACTCTTGGACAAGAACCGTTAAGATTATTCCAACTCCCTGTGAAATTACGAACATGATCTACTTCGGAGTAATCCTACGTTTAACATTTCTCATTACAAAGTGGATCAGTTTTTGATATGATAATCTGCCTTGCAAAGTAAAATAGGGAGAAAAAGTGGAATATTTGAAAAAATATTTCGTCTTCGCTCACAGTTGATGCTGTAACATAATATAGTGAGATCGTCCTGGGTATTGCAACAGCTGATCAGGTAACTCCATCGAAAAGTTGCAACGCAGCGTAGTAGGAAGTTGCTTCGATCTTTTCTCACGTAGTTGACGTAGTCCCAAAACAACTCGAGTGGTCAATTCGCTGAAAAGTCCCAATCTATGTCTCTCCGATATCGGTTTCCCTTCCCCGTGGGATATACGTGCACCGAATTGATTGATTTTACTGCTTCTCGAGAACAAGTTCGTCGCACAGATGTGGATTACCGATAAACACTAACTATTACCACAGAACTTGATGGAAACGAATGAAAATCAATCTCTCAGTTAAAGCGGAAATCAAACGACAGTTGGTTTATACGATGGAAGTACGTACACAGATAGCGAGATATATATACGCGACTGTGATTTAGTTCGTTAATATCCCCAAAGAATGAGTAGCGAACTAGCCTGGTATCATTAAATTGCACCGCTTCAAGTTGTAATCCACACGGTTCACGAAGTTAGAGATGCGTATGTTCGGGCGCATGTGTGTATAGTTGATTGGCTGGTACACTGAAAATGTGCTTTGCTGGCGTCACCGTTGCCAATCGAATTAACGCTGATTACGGTTCATTTGACATCGTCCTCCGCGCCGCTATTGTGCAATATGACAGCCGAGCTTGAAATATTTCTGCATAAATTTACGACGCCTATAGAAGACAAAATGAGAGAATAATGACGACGACGTACACGCACGAGTGCGAGTAATTACCCAGCATAAAGTCACTTGAACGATCAATTAACATTGTTGCCAATGATAATATCGTTGGCTGTGTTTTGGTCAATTTGTTTTGCTAAATTCCGAGTTATATTGCACGGTCCATTGAATAGCAAAAACGTCGTTGGAAATTGAATAATAAATGGTTACGATGATCGAAACCGGCAATTCGAGTTCCAACTGTGGCTCTAGAATACTCTTATAAAATATCGCATAACAATTTGACGATACTTTTCAAAATAAGTAGCAACTTGGAATAATACAACCAACTACGTGCATCGTAAATCAACAAGATTTACGCTGTTTGCGCTCTGTTATCCCGATATTCCGTCGTTCGGTCACATTTATTTTTGAATTCGTTAAAATTTTCATACAAATTCGCAAGGATTATATTCGAGCGAAAAACGGGAGTTCGATTTACTTTAGTTCGTGACTTTTGCAAACTCGTTCGTTCAAACTTGAAGAATGAATACTGAAGTACATACCGTCGCGCCTCTTCGCTGATATTGCGTTTCAGAGTGTTAAACGAAATTTTGTTCGTAATCGATCATTCTGATCGAACAAATGAAAAACTCTATGGCGCAACTACAACGTCGAAGTTAAATAAGGGCGCGAGAATATAGCTCCTAGTACAATAAAGTGAATCGACGACTCTGCGAGAGTTGAAAGTAATTGACATTTACGGGTACAGTAACAACTGAACGAGAAGCGATTTTATAAATTATAATGTAATTTTATAAAATTTTCCTCTATAAATCTCTTAGAACATTGCATGCGGCAAAATCTCTATTACGATCAACCGCTAGTGTCGCGTGGCTCTATCTATATACACCGAGTAGGTATAACTTTTTGTAGCATCGTGATCATTATGAAATATCACGGGTCACTTTTTTGAAGCCGCGCGGTTAATTATCCTCTATACGATAATCCAAGGAATTGGCCATAACCGCGTACTTTGTAGGAGCTGAATGAGGGATCGTAAAAAGTGCAGGTGTTCGAGCGATTCTAGTCAATCGTTCGACACAGGATTCTTACGTAGGAAAGGTCATGTAATAATTCTCCACGCGGATACAAAAAAGCGAACGAATAGATTTAATTGTTTCCAATTCGATCGATGTTGAAAAAATGCTATGAAAAGATCGACCAGTTTAAATTCACTGCAACGGCGTTAGCCAATACTGCTTGAAAAAATGAAACGAAAAAATAGTTCATAAAAAAAGTGTGCATTAGTTTTTCTTCTTCGCAAGACTATATCGCGAAATTGTGTTGAAACGTACGCGTGACTAGCTTCGATGGAAGTGCATTGGAACAATTTCGCCACGTTTGTCCCGACGTCGAAATCAGTGAAACAAGCAATTCAACGTGTGACACTAATTACTCGAACGAAAGTGAAGCGATTTGTTAAATGCCTATATGGGACTTGTGCTGGAACAACATAACCAGAGTATCTACTGGAATCTGTGAGGTAATGGGCAATGTTTGATGTACCGGTACATTTCGGTTATGTACTTTCCATTCTGTATAGAGAAACCATCCATTACTCTGAAATTAAGACTCATGGTTGCTATTAATGTCATCGCAAACGGCAAAATCTTCCATCATAACTTAATGTCATCATCCATCGCGAGTAATTACATATCATTGAACACATTAAAACGTGTTAGATGACTAAATAGTAGACGGAAATGATCGGTTAGATTGGTCATTCAATGATAACAAGCGATAGAGAATTCGGTAGAAAAACGAGGTGAACAATAAAAGAAACTTGTTACAAAAATTATAATTCAAAAACAAATTGAAAAAATTTATTAAATTTCTCCTATATCCTATTCTACTATCCTCCTATATTCTGAAATGAAAACCGCAAGAAAAAGCACAGAAAGTACCAGCAACAGCAGTTGCAAGAAAAGATCATGGAAAGGAAGGGAACAGTTCCAAAGTTATCCAATATCTTAGATATGAAAGAAAGGGAATCACAGAAAGATGGGGCCGAAACTGGCATCTTTCTTTGATTTCTTCGTCGCTCGCGTTCTCCGAGCTAAGCCTAACAGCTTACATCATAATATAACAAAAATGAAACTACAGAATAGACCAGGAGCACATTTTTTTAAGTACCTTTATGAGTTAAGTTTCTCCGATTTTCATTTTTTCGTGTTATTTCGACATCTCCCGGTAGGTGTGAATTTAATTGTAAAAGAGATGAACTTGAAAGATTACATATATTGGTTTGGATAGTTATCGTCCTTTACCTTCTATTTTTTTCATTTTTTCGTCCATCTTTCTCGTAATACAAATCCCCCTAATTATGGGCCAAAGATTCTCACTGGTTCACAAGTTCAATCTTAAAATTTTTTCGAAAATGTGTCGTATCATCAGAACCGTTTAGAGAGAGAATTCGCGTGCCACTTCCTTACACATCGCATTCCCCTAATACTAATCTCCGAATACATTTTTGAGCTATCCCTAAAGCACTTAATTTTATTTGAAACTGTGTTGCGTGTAGTCGAAAAATTGGGAATGCAGCATCCAGACACTTTGTTCGATGTACTTGTGCATTAAAATCGATCTCCAACGCAACGGTAAAATTAAAAAATCTTTGGGTGCATAGAATGTGTGAGAAATTCTCATGTAGCGCTAGTTTTATATGGGAAATCGTGAAGGTAACGAGCAGAAAGTTATGAGAGCATGAAGTGAAGAAAGGAAAATCGACGGAGGAAAAGTTTCAATTTTTCCGAACGGATTATAACGGGCTGCTGAATAGTCCAAGTAGGTCTTCAATGGCAAATATTATGTTAAATCTCTTATGAATGGGACAATGCTGACGGGATTCTAATATCTGGATCTTAAATGCGTGTATAGAACATCATATTGAAGCCACATTGTTATCCCATGAACTAGTAGACCTATAATATAATAAATGGAACGGCAACCCTATAGGGTGTACCCTGGATGAAAAATGTATCCAAGGTCTAATAATTTCGTGAGCTTTCCTAAGCCTAACAGCTGAAATCGATGATCGAAGTGGGTTGCTACTGGACGAATAGGTTTCGTTTACGAGTATCGTAACCACATGTTTCCTCCATCTTTTCTATTGTCCGATAATCCTTTTTTTCTTTCAACAGACCTACCCAGTTGCTTTTGAGTTGTTCCTCGTAATGATGAGACGTAATTTAGCCGAGATTAACAGAACTGGAAATTATCTCCACGTAGAATCGAAGCGATAACGACCGTTGTGAGTAGGACGTATCTGGAGTCTAATCTGCTTTCAGCGATAATTCAAGTTAATTATTCTCCGTAGTCTTGGGCTGTGAGCTCCATGCGTTTCCTTTGAAGCTCTGGCATCGGATCAAGGTATATATTTCTCTCGCCTGGACGTCTCCCAAACAGAGAGAAATTCACGGATCCCCAGGCACCGACCGATCTTATAACGAAAAGTAAGAAACGGAAGTACCCACAATTCTAGTGTGCATTTCACCCCTTCTCGGAATATTCTAGAAAGAAAATAGAGACATTTTGTTAAACAAATGATTGGAAAATATTATGAAATTATTCTATACGATATTACAATGGTACTTTGTTACGTAAATTTCAAATGCTCTAAACTAATGCCATTAATATTAATAATCGTGCCAATATAGATATCAATCAATAATTAACCTTTCTTTCAGTATATGCATATATGTATAATGTTATGGCTGGAAATCATCTGCCGATACAGCATACACGCTACTACATGTACGCTCGCAATATCTTATTGATATTTTACCTACTTTGTTTTATATTTGACACAGTGACCAAAGATAATTACCCGAAGACGATAAATCAGATTTCCTTTATACACATAGAAAATTACATTTTCGTGTCTAGCCCTTCGTTTTCTTCGTTGGTGTGATATCACGGAAAGACGGGACGACGGAAGTCATGTTAATATGTATTACATTATATCGTAGATAGGATAATGTGGTTGGCGTAACGCTTGTAAACCAACACTATTTCGTTATCGTATCATCAGCAATCTCAGCGTTCGTCTCACCTCCCGTTCATTTTCAGATATTTCACGGAAGTAATAACACACTCGACTGAAATTTTATTCCCATTCCGTTGATGTAACTCGTTCAACTTGCCGATAAACGAACGCTTCAAACAAGTTACTTTGGAAACGTTCATTTACAAGCGAATTAACAGAAGTTCGAGGCGATAAGAACTCGAAACATCAAACCTGCTGAAATAAGTTCTATGTAAGTATATACATATATCTACCTATATAATAGGGTATTATACGTATACCGAAGAAAAGAGAAAGCGCGGAACAACATCGTATAAGGAATGTTTGCAGCAAACTTTCCAACTACTGCAGAACAACTGTGAATTGCAGGCGAATTAATATAGCAAACGGTTGGTCGTTTCAACTGCAATCGACCCGGGAAGAAAGAACTTGGTATACAAACTTTTCGTCTAGAAAGAATAATTTCCCGGATTCTTGAAAGATCGGAAGCAATCTAGGAGTAGCTGACGGCGCGATAGAGAAAATTTGTTCAAGAAAGAATTGTAATATTTGTCGATTAAGTCGAGTTCGTCCAGAAGCTTCTGACTTAGAGGCTATTTCCTTTCTTCGTACGTCACAGCATGGCTTCAAAGCTGAAGCGTAAAGACCGCGTTCTTTACTTTGAAAACAGACTAGCTTTACACAGGCGGAAGGACTAAGTTTTAATTAAAGGTCGCGGTCGTTTTTCAGAGCGGCAACGTTTTCACGCTCACGCGTTTTTTAAGGAGATTTTAATTTGTTGCACAACTTTCAGATCGTGATGCGCATCTCCTTCAAAGATCTTTTTCAGAATCTTCATAATTAAAATAAAGTAACAGCGATGTCTGGGTATATTCCACAAAAGTTCTTCTTTATTCACTTTATCAAACGACTTGTAAAACGAGCTGGACCAAATGCATCCATTTTCCAAATAAATTTTTCTTCGTTCCTGTCGATTGAATTACAGTCGACCGTCGCGTCGGTATATGTCTATTTGCGATGAAAACGCAAATGCAGAGCGGCGCGGGAAGCGAAGAAAAATAGAGATGGGATCTCCAATCGGGCTACGTAATTTTTTCAATTTAAATCTAATCTAACCTGGCACGCAGACGCATCTACATATATTTTCGGAGCAAAGTAGCGAACGGAAGTGAGACAGGGGCACAAATGGGAAGGCTAGTAGACCTCTCACAGAGCTCGAATATTTTTTCCTTTATTCAGGCCGTTCACCGTGCTGGCAATTACGTGCCATTTACGTGGCAACCAGGCTGTCGCATCTAACGCGGCTTTTCCGCCTACACGCGCCCGCGCGTGAATTCGATCCGATCGCAGCTAGCCCCGATCGACTAACCCGAAATACCGGAATCGATTATGCTGGTTTACAGGATGCCTCGTCAATCAACGCGTGAGCTCCCCAATTTTTCAATCACCTTTTTTTCACCGAAGACAACAGCGACACGTGAACCAACGTACGATGCTTCCCGTTAAACTGAAGCGTCAATAGGAAGCTCGTGTCACGATGCGCCGAGATGTAAGACAACGAGATAGCGTTTGTCGAACATACGTTATTCTACTGTTAATATACATACTATGAAATTTCATAAAATATGATCAGCTTGGTAGCAGATTGTTTCCGTAAGCTATAATTTAATTAAATAATTGTAATTTATAATTTAATTACACCACCGATTCCGTAAATAATGCTGCTTTTCTGAGAGTTAAGCTTCAAAAAATGAGAGTTGTTGCCATCGGAGTTTAAAAAAATTGAAATAGGAAACTTAATAGAAACAGACAGTGGATTATTAAAAGATAGGAGAAAATTTGTCAACGATTGATTGCGAAGAAGTAATCGTTTAGTTTTATCTAGCATGGAATAGCTTTAAAAAGTTATTTTCAACAAGATGGTATATAAAGAAGAGAACAATTCAGTTGTATTATCGAGATACACACTGGCTCGAAATACATACTGTTATGTCTAAGTACTTTACTTATCCCGTTAGGAGATTACATTTCCGTTCCGGCTGAGATTACTTATTCGTTTTATAGCGATAAGAGTAAGTCGGTATATATGTATAAAGCAGAGAAGATACGTATATACGATTCCAAGGGAATCCATAAAAGTAACAACATACAAAACTTTTCTTATATCCGGTGGAGTATGTGCGCACAACGTTGTAATAGTAACCTCAAAATAAATGTAGACGTTGTACCGATGTATCAGTAATGCGATGTTGCGGAATCGATAGTATCAGCCGAAGAGTAATTTCGGAAAGACAGTTATTATCGATGCAAAGACTAAACAGTCATTGTATGATATACGCTATAATAAAGTCGAAAATTTCGAGAAATTGAAGTTCAATAATCAACTCCTAATAGAAGGTAGGAATATGAGAGAAAAGGAATTCCCAAACGAATACGTCGAAATAGCAGGTAATAGGAAAAGGGGCAAGACACTGCGGCATAAGTTCACCTGCGATACTTTGTGATACTTGAGCATGAACTATTTTCTCTCTCTACCTTTTTCGTTATCTATTTATCCGTTGAGCCAAGAAATTGATGCAATTTCCTGTAACTTCTGAAAGTTATGTCGCTTGACAAAAGAACACTCAATTACCAAATTTGATATGTGCAACATTACCGATAGAATATATTACACCGTATCTTCTGGGATGCGACTACTTATCCTAGTACCTTCCTAAAAAATGTAACCTTTTACATAGTTACGCCCGAGGACTGGCGCTATTATCGTTAAAATATTCGATCGAATTGATGGGACGAAAGCCATTTTTCTTTGAGCAGTATTTTATATTTAAATGGTGAAATATTCCCTCAAGTCCACCAAGTATATTTTACTATCGAACATGCACGTACCACGTACGAATTCAACGCCTTTAAAATCCTAGGAAAATGATATGACACACAGAAAATGATATTACCATCTTCATACAAGTAAGTATATCCAGAGTTGAATACATACTTACATGTATGAAAACGATAATATCACTTTACGAGTTTCTTTTTCTGTGCGACTTTCGAATTATTAAAACTGCGGATCGTTACGGACAATTGTGCATTTATTATATAGCAACTTGTAATTTGGATGTGAACGTAGTGTTTTTGTGAAGAGAATGAACGCCGGCTGTGAACAAAGAAATTACCGTGAATCCAGGACACATAAGTCTTTAATTAAAAATTCTCTATACACAGAGCTGTATTCTTTCGTAACAACTTCTCGCTTTGCAGAATAATAAAAAGCATTTCTTTGTATAACGAACTGAATCTGAGAAAGCAATTACTTCTATTTTTGCCGTCTCAAGATACCGAAGAATTCTAACAGCTTTCTTTCAAGATGTATCTTTTTAAACGTATTGATATTCGAAGAGAGAGTTGCACAGATATCGTATATTAATTAATTGTCAATCGATGAAAACTGTGAATATTAAAAATCGCAGTCGATTAAAATACTTGTTGATTTTACCTGATTATTAACTGGTATATTTGCAACATTTGCACATTGTGCGCGTGATTTATAACTATGCGTGATATCAAACAAATTTATCATATTATCAATTTAATTATTTAAGAAGACACGTTGATCAAAGAAGTTCACGATACATCGAGTTTGAAAAACCTAAGTTTAAGTCTAATTTTCTATACTTTAAGAAGGTGTAGAAAATTAAGAGAGGAAGGTGCCGACTGAAACCTACAGAGTAATCGTACATCTATATTCGCAATGAATAGTTTATCGAAATAAAACAGTAATACGATATAACGAGTTGGACAAATAACATATATGAAACAAGTGCAAGTTTCGACACCAGACATGCCACGGAATTTAATAACATCGTGAAGCTTGAGTTCCCCCGTACACAGAACTGGTTAAATTCGAAAACTTTCCCTGTTATTAATTGCTACTAATATTATACCTCGATTTCCTCTTCCAACAAAATTACGTATGCGACCATGGAAATATACGATTTTCTCTTTATTTTACGACTAACGTTCCCCAGCCTTAATTGTTTACACGAGATGCACCGTAACACGAAGTATCCTCTGCTCTGTAGTAAATGTTATAAACAAACGAGGCAGTGCAAACCGAATTGAAAGTTTTACAGTAGAGGAAGTTATAGAAGATTAAGAGAGGAAGCTCTCGACTGAATCAAATGTTAATAAAAACCGACGCAGTCCGGTTCAATTTAATATTAACGGGTGTTCTCGAAGAGCTATAGGGAGGAACGCGAAATTGCCGCAGAGTATTTTACACAAAACTCGATTAGTAGGTGGAAGTTCTCTGCAGAAGCGTCTGTACCATTATTGTGAAAGCCACGGACGGGAAAGTAGGTGCAACGACGAGAGCTATCTCCGCGTTTAATTAACGTACGTTGAAGCCAGTAGCATCAACGCGAGGCTTACTTTCCTAGTCGTTCGTGCTCAACATATCGGCCCAGTTTGCTTATTTTGTCCGGCTAAATGGGACTCTATCACTCCGAATAATTCGACGTGGGTCCAGCTCGAATAATCGCAAGGAATTTGGTACTATTTTCAAACACGACGCGATTACGCGACGCTCGAACGGCCAAAGCTAATTTCATTTCGTTACTTCTCTACGTTACTTTGCTAAGATGACGAGCTGTTAATTAATGGATCCTAGGTGAACATTGCGATCTCTGATTTTACACCCGAGTAGAAAATTGGGTTGCATCGATTTCAGTATACCATCGTGTATGAATGAAACGAGCTATCGTATATTTTAATTAATGGCATCGGCGTCTTTATCTTCGGTATCACGTTTTCTTATCGATACGCACGATCTTCTAACTGGCTCATTAGCAAAAGTTAATTAAGGTTGAACGTTGCGTCCGTCAGTTGAAATTTCACTGCTGGAACAAATCCCTACTTCTCCATTCCTTTTTTATTTTTTTCTTTTTTTATTCCTAGTCCTTTATTTTCCTTAAAAATGCATGGAAATTGCTCTGTTCTCGTCTCATCGTTCATTTTCAGTCCCTCTTCGTCTAGCCGCATGATTTGAGATATCTCGGAGCTTCCGCGGAACTGATAAATTAGTTTTTTTTTTTTAAATTCGCCTGCAATTAATTAATTATCTATGTAGCTTTTATCTATATAGCATGGCTCGATAGAAGCTTCAGGCAAGTGTGCATTCAGCTTAAGCGGCAATTATCATTCAGCGATTACATTACGACGAGGTTGAAATTCCTGGATTCGACTAGATCCTTCGGTATGGAATATTTCGTTCCAAGTATGGATTTAATTTTGCTGTTTTCTTTTTTTACTTCATTCCAAAGGCTATAATCAACTCATCGTCGTGAATACGGTCGTCAGAACGTCCTTTAATTGCTAAATACCCGTTAATCCGTTAGCCTTTGATGGAAAATTCTGTTAATTTTATCACTATGTTCGATTTCTGAATATCATCCTGGAAATAACTCGACATCCACGTGTAGGTCGAAAAATCCTTCGACTTGTCCGAACAGTTGAACGTAAGAACGCGAAGTTTTAAAGTAAGGAGTCCAGAAATATTATTAGCTACAAGTTGGTTTATAGATATCGGATTTCCATGATATATGTCGATATTAATAAAATGAAAACGTGTACTACTTCGAGTCGGTACCGTACAACGTACATATTGCCAGTGGTGCGAAACTGTCTTTCCTGTTTTCAATTGTTTGACGATTTTTGAGACGTTTCATCTTATCCTTCGTTCAGAGCACACAAAGTCAGGCGGCAAACGCCAACACCTATTACTTACAAATACACGATTCTGGGAACTTTGAGCCTTCGTTCAAGAACCTTCGTTCTTGCCGATTCCCTTTACTCGAATTATTTCGAAGAGAAAGGAAGGGTGAACGGTGGTATTGTTCCATCGAAGCTCGTTCGATTGGAAAAGCCGAGAATCGCAGGAAATTAAAGGCAGCTTGTCGAAGACAGTAAGGAAAAATTCCATTTCGTGTCCCGAGCAACGTATACGTACAGGATGTTTCACAAACCAGAGAATAGTGGTGTTAACTCGGCGATTAGTTTAAAAGAGAAAAGCGAAAGAAGATTGCACACTAAGTAAGATACCAAAGAAAATAATACACATTGTGTCGATGTTCTGTTCCTTCCTATATCCTGTTTCGTCCTATGGATGAATTTATGAAAAATATCGCGCAGTCTGTGCAAACCATTTTTCTTATGTCTATGACAATTTAGGCTGCGGAAAGAATAGCTTGCTCCTGAACATCATGAAATTAATGTTCGTTGCGTGTGGCAGTTAATATTTAAAATACGTCGAATAGAATAAATCAGAAAGAATAGGTATTGATCGCGATAATATAGCGGCGCATCTTTTTCGCTAAACAGAGCGAAGAACAAGGCCACGGCTATTATCAACGCACGTGCAAACAATATATATCGGTATATAATAAGAAACCAAAATAATACAATGTTATAATACTAGAACAAAATTCATTTAAATGTAAATAAGTTCATATTTCCTCGTAGCATAATGCATCATAGCAGCGTGCGAGCTTCATGTAACAGAGAGAATAGGTGAATAGTAGATACTTCATTATCAAAATAATTATCGGGTTCGAAATCTGGAAAATCGTTTAATTACATTTATTTTATACTCTGGTAGTCGTGCCCAGGAGAGCTTAATATAGGTGGTTGATAATATTGTTAATAAATTTATATTGTATAAATAATGGAATGCGCGTGTATTGATTAAGTTAATAATAAATTGATCAATGGAGTTACATCGCATAAATTTATTTTATGCAAAAATAATACAGTTACTTCATGTTAAATGTGTAGTACGCTAAAAAAGGAACGTACACCTCGTAAACATTCATTCCTCACTGTTTAATAGTTGTAAGCTACCTCCATAAGCTTGTAGGTAGTTAAATGAGTATGGAGCAAGTTCCATCATTCTCCTAGTAATAGAAAATTTTGCTGTATCTTCTCACAATCTCATGCGATCAGGTTTAGATTACGTTTTACGCATCAACCGAAAGTATCTTTGCGATCGTGAATCGCGTGTCGCTCTGTATCAGATAATTGACACAGGTGCTTGGACACGGAACTGTCCATTGAAATACTGTGTTTGTCGTAAAGTGTAAACAGAATAGTAAAATCAAATCGTTTCCGAAACAGTTACGCTCTATACTGCATAACTTTTAGCAATTTAATTCGCAGAGATCTTGGCGCATGTTATATATCGAAATGATGACAAGAGTTGAAAGATACCAGCAAGATCGAATAGATAATTCGATAATATACATCGAAAGTGATTGATTTATTCAGCTTCAAAATTGAAAAAAAAAAACAAAGAGCTTTAGTAAAAGAGATCCGTCTGCGCCACAATTCGATGAAAAATTGGAGAATATTAGTAACGTTATAAGATTATTTCTGACAAGAATCGGCTACAAATAGATATCTCATATATGCCGAGTCATAAAACATGCAATATCAAGCTCTTACTGAGAAACCATTGCAAAAGCGTATTACCAGATCTCTGGGTGACGATGCAGATTGAAGCGCACGTGCGTATATGTATATGTGACACAGTGAAATCCTGATAACCGTCTAACAGCAGTTCCGTCCGTACTAATACGTACCCATATGGAAGGCACGCAGCATAGAGTATATAGGGAGTAAGGAGGAAGCGAAACTATTCGAGACAGTCGAACGTGACATTCGCCGTTTAAAGTCTACATTCTAGACGATGCGGCTGAATGAAACAGAACGATGACTATTACGAAAAGTTTCGAATTCTCTCCATCGTTACAACTGCTCCACCGTACCAGGATTTTTATTATTCTTTCGACTTTTAACGTTGCATGCAAAATTTCCACAGTCGAAAGGATCTATATTGTGTCAATCAGTTCGAATAGGGGTCACGTGTCTATTTGCGATGCATCGCGACTTGTGGTTGCGATAAACCGCACGAACGTCACACCAAGCAGGTTACCCTTGCTGCGTTTCATGTAGCGCTCGACGTACCGTTACGCGAGGTTAGACATAACAATAGAAGACCGCAAAAGGTTTTCAGATATATAGATACCGTATAATTAACCACTCTTTATAATATCTGTAACATAATTGTTCGCTACATGTTTCATAAATGACACGATATTTAGCTGCAATTTTAACGCTTTCGCTACGTCTTCGTATACATCTTTGCCGTGTCATAGGTCATTGCGTTGACATAGTTAGCAAATAAAGGGCTAATTTAAATAGAGAACGATTGACATCTTTCATCCCAATAAGAGTATAGATATATCGAAACACGTACTATTGAGGTACTTTTGATACTATCGAGACACGGAACGAGTTAATATTGAATTCAGGCAAATTTAGTTGAACTCGATGCACTATCGACATGAACCATGTATTAATATACATTAATATAACGTGACTTTGAGCAAACGCTGTGACGGATTACCAGGATTCGCTAACGTCCTCGGAATTTCGGGAAATACTGATGGTCCAGCGAACATTGACGTACGTAAGACCATTCCTAATATCATGTCGAGTCACAAACACAGGCTGTAATGCAGATTGTATCTAATTGCAACTAACTAGGTACAATGGAATTACCTAGAGCGCCAATATTTGGCAATTCCAGTATGACTGGAAACGTAATTAACATGTTGCTATAAACAATTGTATCAAAATTTATTTTAAAGAATATCTTGTAAAATAGAAATTAAATTACAAAAGTTTAATTTACTAAACTGGTTGAATAAGGAAGCAACGTAACTCCTTTAAGCTACGTTTAATCATGATCGCCAGATTATTTTAACGCTGTTGAACGTTGGTAAAATACTGCATCGGTTCATCCTGTTCCACTTAGACGAACGGGTTTTAACGAATTTATCCAGTGCGATCTCGTTACTGCAAAAAAGTTGTCACTTTCGAGACGATCTACGAAATCGGATACTTCGAACTACGATTAATCTGTCGAACAAGTTTTTAATTAAAGTAAACGTTGGCGAAGACTTCGTGTTTCACTTCGAAGTTGCGCATTGCGTTAAATACGTTACATTTCTTTTTCTAATTTTCTTCTAAATTCTGTTTTTTCTTTTTTATTTCTTTTTTGGAAAACTTGGTTTCGTGAGAACGAATGAAAATTAAATATCGAAATATATGTATATATCGTAGGTGTGTATGTATATAAAAGTCTAAGAACCTGAAAGCTCGGTTAGCTTTGGTTCGATCGCTATTGAAGAAGATAAGCGACGATCCATCAGTACTGCCAATTTTATGCTTCTATTTCCTTTTCTCGAATTTCTCCTACGGTGGCTTCCGCGCTCACGCGCATTCAGAAAGTCGTTGCAGCTATAGTATAGGCGTTCGAGTAATCAAAGAAATGTAAAAGGGGGTGGGTAAAAGTCTTCGAGCGGTTTCGAACGTTTTCGGGTTCCTCGTTGCCATTTAAAACACCATGAAGCACGTGGAAATTTATGTGTTGCCAGATTACCATCGATCACCGTGGACCTTTTCCACCGAATCCTTCAGCGTTTTTCCTTGCTCGTAAAAACCCCTACGACCGAAAATAAAAGCTACGCTGTCTGATAAAATGCTTCCCCTTTTTTCGTTTTTTCTTCTTCACTTTAATGTTAGTTTCATTTATCCATGGAAATACCGCTCGAAACAAAATCTTTTTGCATTCTCGATTCAAGGTATGTCCCGTTTAGCGATTAATTTTTCTTTTTATCATTCAAAATCGTCGCTCGGAGGAAACTGCACTGTCCTTTACTCGAGTTTATTTCGTGTAATTTCGAGTAATTTCGAGCACATACAAGACGTTTCGGTTTCAGCTGAAAGCTCATTGAGTT